AAACATTGCCACACCCTGACTCTCCAGGTGATGATGGGAAGGAGAGATGCCCACCAATATATGAACCTACCTATTAATGTTAATGAGCAAGAAGTAAATTTCTATAATATCTGAACTATTACATACTTTTGGGCTAATCTATGACAGTTGATAGAGCTAAACCAACCTAAATAATATTGAAGCACAAGAAAGTGCAGTGAAAATGGAAGAAAAGAGATTCAGGATAATAATACATGGTGGGAAGTTCCAGTGAGTTAGCAATAACTATCAGTGCTGTTTCACCATTGAGGCAGCCTCAACCTCCCAATCCTTCTCAACTCAGGCACTGCCAGGGAGGAGAGCATAAGGCTTCTTGATATTGCAACATACTTCAGGAGAAATAACAGACCAAACTAAAACAATACTCTGTGCCATAAATTTTCCTAACAGAACATTCGTTAAATTTGGCCCAGTCACTCACTAAGTTTGTTCAAACACACCCTAAGAAATCAAGACAGACAAGTGGCAATGGAAAACTCCAAACTCCTGGCACCCTTATCCTGATGACAAGTTGCCCTGCCTGTGCTGAAAGCTACCAAGAGGTGTGTAGACAGGCTGTGGTTACTAACCCTAGATGTTGCAACATGGAAGTATTTCTCCCTGTCCTTCAAAAATTCTCAAAACAAATGAAAATTTTGTGGAGGTAATATTACAAAATTCCATAAAGTCACAAAATAGATTTAAGGGAAGATGGTGAAAAAAATCAGATAATCAGTTTTTTAAAAGTAATATAATTCCAAAGAAGTCAGAAATCCCTGATATGTAGTCTATAGTTTTGTCTTTGAAAATCACAACGCAGACCAGAGAAAAAGAACAACCTAAAAAAAAAAAAAAAAAAAAAATGCTGACTTTTGGAAAAATATTTGTAGAACTACATAAATGGAGAGTATCAATTATTATTGTATCGATTATTCTTCTGCCTAAAAGTACAATTTTGCAAATTACTGTGAAAACCCATTCTTACACTATAATTGTACTGCATGTAAAAGACAAGATTCAAAGAAACAGATGACACCAGGAGACCAAGTTGTGACTTGCCAGGAGACTGCAACATCTCTTAGTTTCAATCTCATTTCTGTAAGGCCATTGCATATCAAAGCAAACCAACTCTCTCCCAGTTCTCCAGTCATGGAAAATCCCCACAAGTGTCCTTTGAGAGGTGTACTTTACAGACCCTAACTGGTATTGATAAAAACAAAAAATTCTGCTTCCCTAATCCAGACTCTATATAGAGGCCCAAGTATATATGGCCTAAGGAATTATAATTTATAATTAAGCACTGGATGTCTTCCTTCCTGACAAGACATTTTCTAATTCCTAACCAGTTCTTCCACTACTTCCTACTTTGAACTCCTGAGAGACCTAGCTAGCCTTCTCAAATTGCAGACTGGGCATGTGTCCTAGTTCTGAATAATTTAAGAAAGCGAACTTTCCAGTCTCAAATTAGCCTCTGCAATGTTCCTACCCAAAAGTGAGCCAACAGGGTATGCTACCTTTCCTTAGATAGCACCAGGAAAAATGAAAGAGATTGTACCAGCCAAGACCTAAGGAAGGTACTCAGAATTACAAGCTCAGCAACATTTGCTGAACTGCTATGGTGTACACAGTGCTATGCCAAGTGCTGGCTACAACAAGGACAAATGGAACATTCTACTGCACTCACAGGGACACAGATCATTGGACGCATTGAGCACTGCTATAATATGAGCACATGTAATATAACGTAAGTGTAGAAAAAAAGAACATCTTACTACTGAGTAGGGCACAGTAAACACCATTGGAGGAAGTAATAATTGAGTGGAGTGGGACTTCAAAAGCCAATGGAATGGCAGGGATAGCATTCTAAACAGAAGGGGCATACATGCAAAGATCTTAAAGTAAAAGTTGCCCAGGACACAGTCAATGCAAAAATAATTATGATTCCTCTTTACCTCACCTCAACACTCCCTCCCCTAACCTACCTAACAGATTTTCAACCTGACTCAGTCCCTTCCTGATAAAATACTCTAAAGTCTCTCTAATATTCTAAGTCTCTCTACAATGGCTGCAAAAATCATAGGGATGCAAAAAAAATTTCTTGCATCTTAAAGTCTTAGTAGAAAAGCCTGAACATTTCCAGAAAGGAAGGGCTGACTGACTTTAATGGTAGCCCTAAAGGTCAAAGAGCTGGACAGGAAGACTGGGAACTTTCTCTTCTGTGCGTAGCACCACAAAATGAGACAGTGGCTAGGCCCTATACTGAAGTCACCTGCATAAGGAGGTGACCTTGAACCCATCACCCAACCCAGCAGGGGGTCTAGATGAAGGTAGGAGATTTCGGGCAGCATAACAATTAGCTGGCTGCAGAACTATTTAGTTCCATGTACAATCTACACATAAGTACAAGGTGATTTTCTTTTTAAACCCACTGACTTATTACTCAAGAGCAATGAAAATTTACTGACTTCTTAAAATTGCTACCTAAAAACTGCTATGTGCCGATATTCCTCTTTAGCATTCTCATCCATGCCAGATTTAAAGTCCAGCCTTCCATGGATGCTGGACCACAGTCTCAGGTTAGAAACTTCTGACAGCTGACTTAATCCTCTTTGAATCCACTCAAGGAAAACTTGAGAACAACTGCTGCTCTCATCTTTCAGGAGCTGGACCACCCCCCGCATCAGGTGACCCATGTAAAGGTTCAGGACATAAACCAATAAAGGTACAACACCAAGGACAATTTTCCAAGGGATGTTTGGACCTTTACATAATCTTTTCTATCATGTTTTTAAATGCTCATGTTTTCAGTGTTCATTCCCCCAAGGATATGAAAGATCTGTAGAAAAGTCACCTTTATCTTTATGATATTCCAATTGACTTTACTTTTTTTTTTCCCAGAAAGCCTTTTGAGAGTGAGTTCTGGGTCAGTGTACTAACCAAAGACTTCATGCAAGTTTAATTAAAAAAAAAAAAAAGGCTTCAGAAAACAGGAAATGCTGAGGGGAAACAGATTAACAAAACTCTTCAACTAGTCTTCAAGACCATCTCATACAATGTGACTCTTCAATAAAGCACGCTTGACTATAATTACTTATAAAAAATAAGTTAGTATGGAAGTAGATACTAAAAGTCAGTATGTATTTATATAGGAAGTCCTAAGTTCTATCACTAACTGCTACCGTTATAATCAATAATAAATCTGTATACTATGTCCAAATTATCTCCAGTTCTTTATTAAAGACTGTTAACTAAAGCTAGCTTCCATCCTTTACTCCATTAGTAAATGTTTTAGTGCCCTCTGCTGGCCAACTGTTACATCTAATCAACGTCACTCCACCCACTCCCCAATACCTCTCAGTGGTCGGATGGTAGTCTCCCCATTCTCAACTTGGGCACTGCCAGGGAGGAAAGCATAAGAGCTGAACCAGGAGCATTTGCCACAAGAGGAAAGGAATGATCCTGAAGTACTCCCCTGCCACTACTTGTAGGAAACTTCTGTCCTGGCTGACAGATTTGCCAAGCACCATCCTAGGTCAATGCTTCCTGATCAGCATTCACCTCTACTACTAAACCATAGGCCTCATTCCTACACTCAGAGATGCCTCCACAAGCTAAGCCTAACTCACCTTCTTTCCTGTGTGCTTCACTTAGCCAGCTTCATGAGGCATCTGAGAGGACCAGCTTCCCTATCACTTGGGCAAATAGAGGACAGAAAGATTTGGAGAGCATATTTTCCCACATAAACTCAGATCTCATGCCAACTGATTTCCCTGTCCTTAGGTTGATATTAGCTAGCTTATTTTAGTGAGGGATGGTGACAAGAGAGAATTTCTCCTTGCCCCTGTCCCTGTGACAAAGAAATTTCTAATTCTCCACAGTCCCCTAGAGAAAATGAGGCTCCCTTAGCAGGAACAAACACAAGCAACCATGAATCCTTCAAGCTCTCATTATCTGAACTGCTTTCTTTCAGAAAGGCAAAAGTAGAGTCAGCATAGTATTTATTATTCAATAACAGGAAGAAAGAGCAAGGAAAGAGAAAAGAAAAGAAATGGTGGAGAATTTCTTTGCCATAATATCTTCCCAGATCAAGCCACTATTTACAAATAAATGCTTATCAATTTCATATCATTCCTTGAGTACAAAATGTGATTTAGAAAATGTTGTGAAGGGTCTGCTATTGAAGAGCTCACAATTTGATTAGAAAGAACAAACATGTCAAAGAAAAATAATTAGAAAGTGACAAAGTATCATATCCTTAAGTAAAAATATTTACACTGGGAATTCTATCAATACATACATACACACAAAGTCCCTCTGTCTGTCTGTCTCTCTCTCTCTTATCTATGAAAAATGATCATCATAATATTAGAAATGGCAAGGCAGAGGGAGGATCACAAGTTCCAAGCCAGCCTCAGCAATTTAGCAAGACCCTAAGCAAGCTAGCAAGACCTGTCTCAAAATGAAAAGTAAAAATAAAATATTTTAAAAAGCGGGGCTGGGGATGTGACTCAGTCATCAAGCATCCCAGGTTCAAAACCCAGTATCAAAAAATACACACAAACACACATAATGGTGTGAGTAATGGTCATCTCTGGTAGAACTTCTGATCATCTATATATCAGTACTACTTGAATTTCCTACAATAAGAACATAACATCTTAAAAAAGAGAACAGAAAAATATTAACAATTTTTCAAGATTTAAACAGAAGTGCTATGAATATAATATGTACATAGAGAATGATCTATGAACAGGGTTATATAAAACAAACAAGAAGAAAACATATCAAATTATTCATGAGTGTTATTTCAAGGGGATGCAATGATTTATGTCATGTGCTTTCTCATTTTCTAGTACTTTTATAATAGAAAAATTGATCTTCACTTAAAGAAATTCAAATGTTAAAAAATTATTCAGCATCAGCTTTTAAAAAGTCATTAGTATATAAGTGCCTTAAAGATAACCATTTAGTCAGGGTCATACCTGGGATAAGTGCTGTGCTGATAAGGATGTCCACCTCCTTGCACTGCTGGGCAAAGAGCTTCATTTCGGCTTCAATGAACTCTTTGGACATCTCTTTTGCATATCCTCCCTGTCCCTCACCCGATTCCTTCAAGTCCACCTCCAAGGGCTCAGCACCAAGAGACTTGAACTGTTCCAAAGCTGCAGCTCTAGAGTGATTATTGAAGAGAAACCAATAGTTATTTTAGGCTCCTAATACATGAATCAAGATCTTCACTTACATATACATTTTTAAGAAGTGCAAACTGCTCCATCTGTGTACAATATATTAAAATGAATTCTACCATCACGTATAACTAATTAGAACAAATTGTTTAAAAACTGCCATTTGAAAGGGAAAAAAAAGTGCAAACTGCCAATAGTCAAAACTTGAGAACTTTGGATGCCTCTGATTGAACTGACTCAATTATTTATTTTCCTTGAGGCAGATGATACTTTTATGAACATATTTTTTCTCTACTGAAATTCCAGTAATCAGTTATGTTCCTTGTGGCCCCACTATTGATAAAGATGTTATATCTGACCCACATTGAGATTTTATATCATTCATACCGCCCAAGTTGTGTTTCTCATTTGTAACTGTTCTGAGCTTGTTCTTACTGGGGCTTTTCCCACATAAATGACTCTTTTACATAGGAATATTTTAACAAAATGACTTTCACCTCCAGTCCTCATTAAATTGTGAAAGTAACCTATAAATGGTGGTAAACTGTAAAATGTGAAAAGTCAACATATTTAAGTTACATAGAAATAAATTCAGTTTGTGAATAAATAAATAATTGTTACCTAACCACTGTATGCTGGTTGAAAAACTGGAACCAACAAAGATTTCAGCTCTGTGGTGGTACCCACCAATATCCATCCCACTACAATAAATCTCAAATCTCCCTAATGACAATGATCACTTAAAGTACATGTTAAAAATTCCTAGGTCCCTTCCCAGAACCACTGAATTATAATATCCCACAGAGAGGCCAGGAACTATATTTTTAGCAAGAACAGAAGGTCATTCTTGTCATCAGGGAAGTTTGGGAAACTATGGTCTACACCAATAAATCCCTAGCAACCATCATGCTCTGAAGTGTGTACATAAAGAGTAGGACATCAGTCCACACTGAGCAAGACGTTCTCTCTCTGTTAACTTCATTAACAAGGCATGGGCAGCCCCAGAATGCCTCTGCAGGTCAAGCTGCCAGCACAAGTGGAATCAGCCTTATGAGGAAGCCAAAGTTGAGGACAGCAGAGAAGAAAGACAGAAGAGCCTGGTCTTTGATAGCACCAGAAAGCAGGTGACTCTAGTGTGAAAAGGGAGTCCTTCCCACAGAATTTCAGTAAGGATGGAGAATACATTGTCTTATGGTTTAAGTCAATTCGAATTGGTGTTTTCCATTTGTTACAGTCACACGAATAAAGGTCTTTAAAAAGTTTCTAAATGTCTGCTGATATTAATAAAAATTGAGATGGATTCAAAATTATACATATAATTATATATATGTTGAATGATATATTATATGATCCAAATTTCATACAAAAGGTATATATACATAAACTCTAAGAAACTATACCAAAATATCATTAGCAATACATCTGGCCAGTAGTATTATAAAAGGTATTTTAATTCTCTTCTCTAGTTTCTTTGTATTTTTCAATAATGAACATGTACTGCTTGTACTTATTGTTATGATCATACAGACATTAATATTTACCACGTTTCTGAGTTTAACATCTCTCTCACCTATAACATCCTAAGTATGTTCCTTGTGGTCCCACTATGAAAGGAGTACACACTGTATGAGTTTCTTTATATGAAACCCTAAAAAGACAAAGCTGTAGTGATAGAAACATATCAATGGTTGGTTGGAGCCAGGACTAACTGGGAAGGAGCACAAAGCAATGTTTTGGGATGAGAGAAATATTCTGTATCTTAAAGTGGTGGTGGTTTTACAAATGATAACACTCTTCAAAATTCATCAGACCGTGTATTTAAAATAGTGTATCTTCTTATATGTAAGTTATAGCTTGATAAAGTTGATTTTAAAATGAAAACCTAGAAAAATATAAGTGCTACTTTGGAAACTTTATTGTTATATCTTTGCTCACAAATTAATCTCATCACATAAGAATACTATATCAAAATTTCAAATGTATGTATCTTTGACCCCAAAATTCTATTTCTAAGAATTTATCCAAAGGAAATAATGAGATATCTCCAAACACGTATGTTCCTCTAGAGAGAGGTAAAGAGAGAGTGTCCTGGGGGGAGGCTGGGCAGGGGTGGGCCATTAATTAACATGCTTTGTTAATTAAGCTAACAGAGAACTTCTTGCTCAGTGTGGACTGCATGTTCTACTCTTTAGGCACACGCTCCAGAGCATGATGGATACTAGTGATTTACTGGCTTAGACCATGGTTTCCCAAACTTTCCTGATGGCAAGAATAACCTGCTATTCTTGCTAAAAATATAGCTTCTGGCCTCTCTGCAGGAGATTATAATTCACTGGTTCTGGGAAGGGGCCTGAGAATTTTTGACAAGAAATATATATTTGTTATCTTATAATGCATATTATATAATCTCCATCTATGTCTCTCTATATAATTATATATAATTTTTAATTAAATACATATATAGTATTTAATATAGTAAAAATGTATTTTTGGTGAGCTAGTTAAGTAAATCACTATTCTATACAATAGAATTCTATGCAGACATTAAAAATATTTATAGGAAAAGAAAGATCTTCATGCTCTACAATTAAAAGAACCTACAAAGGGGAGAGAGGGAAAGGGAGGGGACATGGGGGTAGAAACGATGGTAGAATGAGAAGAACATCATTACCCTAAGTACACGTATGATTATACATGATGTGGACTGCACATGTGGTGCGACTCCACATCACATACAATCAGAGAAATGAAAAATTGTGCTCCATTTCTGTACAATGAATCAAAATGCATTCTGCTATCGTGTATAACTAATTAGAACAAATAAATAAATTAAATAGTACCATTAGTAAAAATACATTTTTAATTAATATGTACAAAAGGAATATATATTAAAATGTTAATATTTATTTCTAGGCAGAATTTTTGCTTCCATTTTTGTGCTTTTTTTATATTTTTCACTATTATTAAGAGGGGAATCTCAGGACTGGGGTTGGGCTCAGTGGTAGAGCGCTCACCTAGCACGTGTGAAGCACTGGGTTCAATCCTCAGCACCACATAAAAATGAGGTAAAGATATTGTGTGTCCATCTACAACTGAAAAATAAATACTTAAAAAAAAAAAAAAAGAGGAATCTCCAAGTAATTTTCCTTTTTTTTTGATGCTGGACATTGAACCCAGGACATAGTGCATGCTTATCACATGTTCTACCAATCTATAGCTCAGTCCAATTGTTTGAAAAAATTCAAACATCACACTCTTTAATGTCATTGGTAAATGAGTTGTCCTTAAGTTTTTAAAATGTTTAACTGAAAATATATATATGATTTAGTCTTCCAACAAAAATTTTCAATCAAGTATGTCTTCCAATATATTTGGATTTCATATTTATAATATAAAACCAAACCCCCAGTCTCAAAGTAGAGTAGATTAATGAGCTATAATTCTTAGATAATGATTATATCACTCCGTTACATCTTTCTTCATTATACACTTGAGTTATATGTATTCTAAACTGAATAAATTATAAATAAAAATAGAGCTAAGCAATAGCTTTATTCCAGCTGTCTTTTCCATGTATGATCTATAACAATGGCATCAATATACTAAATTCTCAAAGGCTGTCCCAATTCCAAGTTCCAAATCATCTCTAGGTCAAATAGATGCATTTTTACTTTAATATATTGTCCACTACATTAAAATATAAACAACCAGGTTTTGGGTTTGGGTTTTTGGGGGGGGGGGGGGGGGGGTTTGTACTAGGGATTGAACCCAAGGGGCTGCATCCCTAGTCCCTTTTTCTTTTTTTTTTTTTATTTGTCTTTTTGTTTTTTGTTTTTTGTTTTGTTTTTAGACAGCATTTCACTAAGTTGCTGAAGCTGGCCTCAAACTTGGGATCCTCCTGCCTTGGCCTTCTGAGTTGCTGGATTACAGGCTTACACTACCAAACCAGGTGAAAATAAACTTATTTTTAAAAGTTTGAAGGTCTAGAAAAATCTTCATATCATTAAACATTAAAAATGAAAAACCAGAGCAGCCCAAGATGGCCGACTTTGAGGATCGGGTGTCGGATGAGGAGAAGGTACGTATAGCTGCTAAATTCATCACTCATGCACCCCCCAGGGGAGTTTAATGAAGTATTCAATGATGTCCGGCTACTACTTAACAATGACAATCTCCTCAGGGAAGGAGCAGCACATGCATTTGCCCAATATAAAATGGACCAGTTCACACCTGTGAAGATAGAAGGATATGAAGATCAGGTCTTAATTACACAGCATGGTGACCTGGGTAATAGCCGATTTTTAGATCCAAGAAACAAAATTTCCTTTAAGTTTGATCACTTACGGAAAGATGCAAGTGACCCTCAACCAGAGGAAGTAGATGGAGGTTTGAAGTCTTGGAGAGAATCCTGTGACAATGCTTTAAGAGCCTATGTGAAAGATCATTATTCCAACGGCTTCTGTACTGTTTATGCTAAAACTATAGATGGACAACAGACTATTATTGCATGTATTGAAAGCCACCAGTTTCAGCCTAAAAACTTCTGGAATGGTCATTGGAGATCAGAGTGGAAGTTCACTATTACACCACCTACAGCCCAGGTGGTTGGAGTACTCAAGATTCAGGTTCACTATTATGAAGATGGAAATGTTCAGTTGGTTAGCCATAAAGATGTACAAGATTTAGTAACTGTTTCAAATGAAGTCCAAACTGCCAAGGAGTTTATTAAAATCATAGAGAGTGCAGAAAATGAATATCAGACTGCAATTAGTGAAAACTACCAAACAATGTCAGACACCACATTCAAGGCCTTGCGCCGGCAGCTTCCAGTTACCTGCACCAAAATTGACTGGAACAAGATACTCAGCTACAAGATTGGCAAAGAAATGCAGAATGCTTAAAGGCTGACTGTAGGAGTCTTCAGTATGTAGAAAGAAAAGGATTCAACATGTGGTCATATGATAAATAAGCGATTTATAAACAAGAGTGATATTTTGCTAGGGCTTTCAAAGTTAACAGATTTTTTTAGCCTCATGAAATACTGTTGAACCTATAGCATTGACTTCATCTTTTTGTGTTCTCTGCCTTGTATTTTTCTGTTATCACTATATCTACTTGTAAATCTTTTTTTTTTTTTTTCCTTTTTGTTAATTCTGATACAATTAGTGTTGAAGAAAGATCCATCTATTCTGGGGTCATTTTACTCTTTAGAAAATTTTCCTAGCCATAAAGTCCTGTTACTGATTTAGACAGATAATATGCTCAGTACTTTTACTCTGTGCTCCAAAGCACTTCTGGTACTTCAGTGCTTTTGACTGATCCACCAACAGCCAAGGAGGCTTTGCTACAAATCGTAGCTAAATGGAAGACACATTCATCCTTCTCCCTCTGACTGCTTTGATCATCATTTATAGCATCTCATAACTATAGTTTTCAAAAGTTTGGATTGAGGCTTTTCAGGTCCATTTTGGGGGGCAAAGGAAGTTTTCTGGAAATTCCATGACAGCTAGCTTCTCTGGGGGGCACTCATTTTTAAATCCAAAGACTTGAACCACATTCCCTGCACATGGAATATGTTTGCTTTCTTCATTCCCTCATTGTCTTCTTCCCACTTAGTACCATTGTAGTTATAGACATCTGCATTTTTAGAAGAGTTTTATTCATGTATTATTTTTTTAAGTATCCAAGAACTATGGACATACTGTGGATAGAGTATAAAACTTGAAAATGCAGATGCTGAAGGAATAATACGTATCTTGTGCTTTAACACTTTGTGGCAGGATTGTACTATAAGCAAATGAATCAACTCTGTAAATCACAAAAACTTAAGATGAACCAAAGTGAAAAGGTAACTTCCAGGCAGTATCTTTCTACTGTAACCTGTTATTTAAGGGAATACTAGTGTTTTCTAAATAGGATGTAAAACTTGTTCCAAATTACTCTTCCTCAGTCCTGCCTGCCAAGAAATAAAGTGTAACTGTGATATAGCAACCCTTCCCAGGTATATTGGCAGGTATGTGTGTGATCTCAGAATACACAAGTGACATAGATATGATAGGACAACTGGTAATGGTGGATTCATTTACATTGTTTACACTTCTATGACCAGGCCTTAAGGGAAGGTCAGTTTTTTAAAACCAAGTAGTGTCTTCCTACCTGTCTCCAAATACATGTCAAACAAGAAGGGTGTTTGTGCTTCAGCTTTGTCTTTGCTCAGTAATACAGTCAAGCAAGAGTTTGTTTCCAAGTGAATGCTGTGTAAACATTTTTGTTTATTTCAAATAAAATATATTTGTATTAAAAAAAATGAAAAACCAGGATGGATAGGATGCTTAATCCTGGCTATCTTTGGTTAGTGACCTGACTACTTTGGAAATGTCTTCTTTTCTCATTTCAACTGATTTCTATCAGTACATCACTTCTCTAAACTCAGGTCAGAACCATTGACAATATTCTATGGAACAATCTTTACTTGGAAAAGTCACATTCTTTCCAACTGAATTTTTTTATCATTGTATATTCAAGATTGGCAGTTGAGGAGTATAGCTCAAGGGTAAAGCACATGTTTGGCATGCACAAGGTCCTGGGCTCAATGCCCAGCACGAAAAAATAAATAAGACTGGCAGTGCTATTATGCCTCTACTGCCCTCAGTTGATAATAAATAACCACATTTCAATCTCAAAAAAGCACGAAAATACCTAAATGATAATGATACTCAATAAGTATTTAATAAAGTCCTGAGTTCAATCCCCGGTACCACCTCCCAAAAAAATCCTGTATCTAGTGTCTTCAGTGATGAACAATTTAATCAAACTTCTCTTTAAACACAATCCAGGAAAATACTTCTATGCCAGCTTTAGAGAAATCAACTTTCTCTTTATGCTCAAAGTAGTTACCTTAGCATAAATACTACAATAATAATAATTCAAGTAGTGTTACTCTTTAGATTAAAGCACCTGGAGAGTGTTACCCAGTCGGTTCTACCTGCTTCCATCCATTTAAGGTAGGGTACTCTCCTTATTCTGTCTGTTCACTAAGATGTCTACTATGCCACCCTCTTCATGCTCACAACCATCTCTGCTCATGCTCTGAGTCTAAAAGCATTGTGAAGAGAAGCAAGACATACTAAAGCAATATGTTGAAAAGCAGAACAGAGATAACTCTAGTCCCTTTGTTAATCCATGCAGAGAAAGAACTGAGTTGTTAGTTTGAAATTCTTTTGTTTATTACTTCTGCTTTACTGAGATTGGACCTGTCTGTCGTTTTTTCCACTAATACATTTTCACTCTAAGTTAATTTTTAAAAAGTGGAGCATTTTCCTCAGTTATCACATGCAAAAATAGAATAGACCATTTTCAAATGGAGAGAGTTTACTGAGCTGTTTCACAATTGCAATTTACAAATTCTAAGGAAAATGTAATAGGCCCTATTTGAAACAAAATGCTTTTAGCTTAACCTCCATCATAAGTAAGGCACTTACCTTGTATCAAATCCTCGAACAATTGCACCCATCGACTTTGCTGCACCTGCAGAAGCAAGCCCAGCAACACCACCACCAACTATCAGAATCTGGAAAAGAAGAGAGAGACACTTATGTTTTCATTAAAGTCCATTATCAATTGATTAAGAAAAATTACTAGCTAACAACTCTCTGTGCCTGGTACACAGCTTTCAATAAGTGATCATGGTAATGACCAGCCCTCCATACATGGGTTGGGTAGACAGTCTATCCTTTAGCTGAATCAGCACTGTTTTTAAAATTTTAACAAAAGAACAACTGCTAGTATTGACCAATAACCTCGACTAAAAATAGCCTATCAGCATCTCAGTGTAAAAATTATGTAAGCACAATCAGCATTATCTGGCTAAAGATGAACAGGTTCTTTCTTGCTGTATAAAAACTACTTCTTTTAAAATTCCCATATGACATTCAAACTACTCTGCCCTCTCACATTCTAAGGTTTTTTTCCTAGTGTTATAAAATATGAAAAAACATGTTCCAAAGATGGGCACAACTTTAGTGAATATCTACCCCATCTATTCTGAGCTCAAAAGCTTCTGAATAGAATAGCTGGTGACCAACCACATAATCCTGAATCATTCTGAATGAACTATACTTGAAATCTGAAGCAGTATCACTAATCTCCCACACCACGGAAGGATCAGAGCCAAGAGAACTAAAGAATTCCTCAGAAGCAAGTCTCTCCAGCCTTCACAAAACAAAGCAAGAACAATGTTGTCTCTAGTCTAGAAGGGGCGGTCCAAAAAAAAAGTTCTGCTATACATCCTACAAATAGTCTATTGAAGGCAATTCCCTGTTCCTGCTGAAGGGGAAAAAAAAAAAAACAAAAAACAAGCCACCCACAGAAACAGTCAAGCTTATAAATTCCTACCCACCCATCAAGCCCACAACTGCTTTTGCCTTTTTAAGAATTCTAGGCAGTCAAACTTCCCCAGTGACCCCTGGGCAGTGTCAATTGATCTTGATGATGGTTTCTCATAGGAAGTGGGAGGAATCTATAGGAAAGGGGGTGGAGGGGGACCAGAGGGAACAAGCAGGGCTCTGAGACACCAACCCTGTTCTACTCTAAAGTTCCACCACTTATAAATTAATAAACAAACAAACATACACAAATAAATGAAATAAGTAAAAGTCACAGGGCTAGGCCAAGTTATTCTGAAACAAGAAATAATAAGGATACATGATTACAGTTAGGAAGAATGAATTTCCAGAGATTTATGGTACAGCTAGATTGCTACAGTTACTGACAATACACTGTACTCTTGAAAAATACTGAATGTCAAGTGCTCTCACCACAAATATGACAACTACCTGAAGTAATGTGTGTGTTAATTAGCTAGATTTAACCATTCCACAATGTGTATATACTTTGAAACATGTACATGATAAAGTCACCCATTTATTCTCTATATAAAAAAAATTAACAAAAAATGAAATAGCCAAAGACTATATAATTTAAAGACAAAACTGCACATGAATAAATCAATATAGATACTATAATAGTAAATTACTCTTGCTCTTTAGCATGGGATGGAGGAAAAGAGACTGAGAGCTTAGGTTGAAATTCTGACTCTCTTACTACCTAGTTCTAGAGGACCTTGGGCAAGCCGCTTGGCATCCACATTATAGCAGTGAAAATTTTGTTGTTATGTTAAGTGATGGAATTTAACTAAAGCAGTCACTGCTAACCGGCACAGTGTGGACATACAGTCAGGAAAGGGCAAGGGCAAGAGAACATTATAGCACTGTTCCTGATGTTCAGTCATATATAACCTGTTCCTCCTCTCAGCTTCCCCATCTCAGTAAAGGGTACTAACTGGGCACAACTCCTTGAGACAAACTGGGGAGGTCATCTTGAGTCCTCCCTTTGCACATATTCCTATCTCCAACCCACCAACATGTACTACCGGGTTTGACTCCCAAAGATCTCCCAGTCCACCTCCTTCTCTACATTTCTGTTACTACCACCTTCCCAGGTACAACCAGTTCCTAAGAGATCTTATCTTTACTCTTCCCTCTGTACCAGCTCCCACCCATAACAGCCAGATAACTATTTTAAATCCTAAGACACATTTCTCTCACCTTCAAGAGAACTCAAATTTTGTAACATGACCTATCAGAGAGGCACTACGTGATCCAACCTAACCTTCCTTTCCCACATCATCGCAGATGGCCCCTACCTTGTTCACCGTACTCCAAGGCCAATGGCCTTCTTTATTCCCTAGAACACACTAAATAAAGTCTTTCCCATAATAGGTCCTCTATATGTGCTGGCCCTTTGCCTAGAACCCTAAGTTTCTTAGAAATCCTGGTTTCTTTCTTTCCATCCTTGAGGTATCAGCTCAAATGTCAGAGGAGCCTCCCCATCTCCCAGCTCAAGTGGCTCACATGTTTTTGTTACTATCACCTCATCTGGTTCATTTCCTTTATATATAAAACTATCTTGTATATTTTGGGGGGTTGTGTCCTCACTATGAGCCCACTAGAATGTAAGTTTTATGTGGCCAGGATGTTTGTCTTATTCAGTCCATCCCCCAGCTCCTACAACAATGCCTGTCATTTCATTAAGACTCAATAACTGATTGATTTCAGTCCTCCCTGCAGCTCACGAGTCTGAGGGCAAGAGGATTGCAAGTTCAAAGCCAGCCTCAGCAAAAGTGAGGTGCTAAGGAATTCAGTGATACCCTGTCTCTAAATAAAATACAAAATAAGGCTGGGGACTCAGTGCTCCTGAATTCAATCCCCAGAACCCAAAAAACAAAAACAAAAACCCTCTATATTTACAAGAAACACAAATAAAATATCATGTAGTCTACCTCCATGAGCCCAGCTAGTGACTAATTCCTAAGTTTCAGAAAACTATTTTTGCCATGTAACCAAATCCTTTAAGCTGCAATTTAAACTCTTTAATAAAGACAGTCTCTTTTCCACTTTTTAAAGACTGAATGACTCTCCTTCTTTTAAGCCTCTTGCCTTCTGTTTCACTTTTTAACCCCTTATATTCACAGCTTTCCTATCAACTTCCATATATTTCTAGAAAGATTCTAATCAAAACTGAATTGTGGATTTTGTGCATCAAAGTATTCAGCCCGTTTCAGAACGGCATGAACTTCTGGCCACCTCGAATGCAAGACATTTTCTTACAATCCTAAGGAACAGGTCAAAATGTCCTCATTTTACATATCACATCTGTGCTATTTGCTCATAGTTTCTCACTAGGTACTATGGCCTCCACTGAAGCACTTGCTGTTTTTTCATGTGGCCTATTCTTCAAAGCAATAAATAGCAAGATTTCATAAAACTGCTATTAGGTGCTTATTGCTTTGGGGCTTTCTTCCCTAGAAAATTTTTTTATTTAACACTCTGGGTTTATACAATGAAATATTTAAAAGGAGGAAGCACAAGGTAAACCTGTACTTTACAGACAGATATTTAAAGTCCTATTTCCTATACCTTACCTCAGGATCTATATTGACATTCAGAGAACTTAGAATTGAAGGATCAAAACAAAACCTCCTGAATTGTAATGCATTCTGCTGTCATATATAACAAATTAGAATAAAGAAAAGAAAAAAACAAACTCCTGTCCTTTCATATAACCTTCCCTGCTTCACATCACTAACTGCTCCTCTCTGCTTCCAGTCTGGATTCAAAGCTGCAGCACCCTTCCCCTCTGCCAAAAGCCCTGATTACATCACCTCCCATCCTCTGTCCTCGTTACCCAAAAATTGAGGAGTGAGGAAACCAAAGTAATATTTTCTTTGCAAGATGTTGCAATGTTGGGAAACCCAGAATTTGCTGAATAGTACATTGAAGTTTTTTTTAAAAAAAAAAGTCGTGCAAACAGGCCCTCAGGCCAAGTTATCCAAAATCCCTTTAAGAGTTCAAGTTTAGGGCGGGGGCTGTGGCTCAGCAGTAGAGCACTCGCCTGGCACGTGTGAGGCACTGGGTTGGATCCTCAACACCACATAAAAATAAATAAATAAAATACAGGTATTGTGTCCAACCATAATTTTAAAAAATACATTAAAAAAAAAGAGTTCAAGTTAGTAAGTCAAAAGTAGTCAAATTTCATTTTCTTAAGCAATCTTAAACGTTCAGCTTTGAGATGCCACCCTAAGTTTGTGAGCATACAGAAGTCATCAGTGACACTAATACACATAAAATTTTTTAAATAATTAATTTTAAGACTATACATACCCTTGCTTCCAATTTGTACTATGAAGAATCATTCAAAGTTGTACCTACCTTAGCTGGAGGAACTTTCCCAGCAGCTGTGATCTGACCAGTGAAAAATCGTCCAAAATGATTTGCAGCTAGGACAACAGCCTTATACCTTTAAAAAGTAAATACATAGATAATCCCATGAAATAAAAGGTCTTCGGCCCATACATTATTGCAGGTTATCAATTGCCTTGTCAAGAATATAGCTAATACTTAGTATTTACTAAGTGTCAAGAACAGTTCTTAAGTGTTGCACATATACTCACTCCTTCTGGATAGGTAGGATCATCACTTTTATTTACAAGAGGAGACTGAGATACACAGAGATGAAAAGACTTGTCCAGGGTCACCCAGCCAGTAAATGTCAGAACCAGTGACCTAATCCAGGTAGCCTGGCTCTAAGCCACATTCTTATCCTTAAGGTTACCTAGCCCCTTCATAAGGAATACCAAAGAAGATTAGTTGAGAAGGAAAAAGTAACAAGGAAAGTCAAGAAAATGATAGCAATGCTTTTCTTTGGATGCTGAGACTCCACATCCTTTATACTTTATTATGCTGTCTAAATTTTCTTTGATGATTATGTAGTACTTAAACAATACAGGGGGGAAACTGTCAAATAAAATAATTAGATTAACCATATGCTGTACATAATAAGATTCCAACTCTTGATCTCTAACGATTGAAAGCATGAAACTCTCAACCTCAGTTTATGTCCTAGACCTATCACTGATTAGCTTCATAATCTTGAGAAAATGTAATTCTTGGATTCCTCATCTATAAAATGGAGACAAAAAAAGCATCTATCTCTGAGAGCTGTTGTTAGGACTAGATGACATAATGCAGCCAAAGTACTTAGCATACTGCCTGTCACATAGTAAACACACAATAAACATTTCAGTGTTTCAGCTAAAGAAACAAGCTGTGCAATAAAAACTAACAGTGTGCACCATCCTTACTCTACTAGGAGAACTTGGACATACGACACTGATCTCCATTTTACATATTTTTATACTCAAAAGGCACTTATAGGGCTGGAGTTGTGGCTCAGTGATAGAGCACTTGCCTGGCATGGGTGAGGCCCTGGGTTCAATCCTCAGCATCACATATAAATAAGTAAAAGACCCAATGACAACTAAAATAAAAAATTTTTTAAAAGTATACATTTTTTTTAAAAGGCACTTATACATTCTTGCTCAGTAATATTCTCTGTCTCATTAATAATACAACCACTTAACGTTAAGACCCAACTTCTAATTGGCAACAAAACCTCTCCCTGATCATATTTTGTTACTTGATATAACAATGCAAAAATGTCATTACTAATGTTGGTTAATCATACTGGAACAGGAAACAGTATTTTAGAGATTATCTGTTAGTCTTCTGAATTCAAATGATAAAACTTTTCAAAGAGCAAATATGATAAATATACAAAGATCATTGTAAGAAACTACTTTGGGAATTATGTTTTAAAATATGCAGTTGCTATGCTGAAAAATTACCCAAATGAGAGATTATACAAAAGTATACACAATAAAGTGTTAATAATAGGAAAAAAATGTGGTGAACTGGGCATTTTTACAAAAGCTCAGAATTAATAGTTGAACTAGAAGCAATTCATCTTCACCATGATGTGGTTAGTGTCTATGTTAGATAATGATTTATTCCACACCATGTGGTTATATATACCAGGTAATTCATTTCACAGCATGATCTTTGCATATGTCAGCTCAGGACATCACAAAAGTGAGTCTTCAAACTGTGTCCCATGGATCCACAAAGGTTCAAACTTCAGACAAACTGGGACCACAGTGGGTGAGATGGAGATAGGCATGCTTCTGGGTACTCCTCCCATCCTATATTGCCTCATAATATTTCTTTTGCTCAAAAGATTCTGACTATACTCTACCTCACCCACAGCAGGCAGGATTACTCCAGTATAGTCATATTCTTCCAAGAAAAATGGATCTTACAATTCTTCTCTACATAGCAATCAGGCAAAAAACAGGGAATGAAATACTGCTGGCAGGCAACTAAAGCGTATTACTATCGTGGCCTTGAAAATAAGATGACATAGCTCTCAGTCATCAGTATGGGTTTTGACTCCAGATGAAACTTCATTTAATACAGATATTTTCCCTACTCATTAAATATTTTATGAATTCACCTAAGCAAAACCTCATTAAGATGGTCTATCTGTTAATATGTATATACAAATAAAGCATTCCTAATCTCTGAAATCCAAAGTGTTCCAAAATCCAGACACAAGTGGAAAATTTCAAACCTGATATCATGTGACAGAAGTCAAAATTCATGTTCACAACACATAGCTCATTCAGCTTCCCCAGAGAAAAAAAGACCTTCCCAGACTCTTCAGTTGTAATGCATAAACTTTGTTTCATGCAAAAAAAAATTATTTAAAATATTTTATAAACTGCCTTCATTTTTCCACAAACTGCTAATATGTAACCACTTTTTTTGACCACTTTTAACAAATTACAAAAACAGCAATTTGAAACTAGTATATGCCTGTATACACACACAAAATTTGTATTCCTCATACAAATAATCTGACAGTTATTTCCTTTGGTAGATAAAAATACTACTTCTCTTCCACCCAGGAAGACTAAAAAGGAGTGTGTGTTAGTGCTCACTTCTAATCTGATCACAATGAAACAATAAGTCATAAAAATAATTTAATTATAGTCTCGTAAGACTGCAATTTCCAACAATTACTGCAAAGGACATCACTAGAAGACAGAAGAGCTACAGGGTGGATGTCTGTGTATCACCATTGTGCTTTTGTTTAATTGAAATGGAAAAGAATAAACCTACCCTGCAATGTTGGCCATAGAGCTTAGTGCATCATATCCCTGAGCAATTGTGACTCTTGGAACTTGGTCCATTGCCAAAACTGTAGATTTTCTTTTGGAAAGTTTATTTAGCAAGTCTGGATTTTGGGCTGGGTAAATAAAACTAATCAGTGTTCCCGATGTCTTTAAAAGGTCAGCTTCATGAACACCTAATGTTGGATTAACCATGGGGGCTCGTACCTGAAAAGAAAGTCAAATCACAGATTAAAATATGAATATTGGACTGGCGATGTAGCTCAGTGGTAAGAGTATGGGCCTAGCATGTGCAAAGCTCTGGATATAATCCCAGCATGGCAAAGAAAATACAGACATAAAAATCTTGATCATATTTTTAAACAAACAAGACAATTCAAAAAATATACAATGACTAAAATAATAATCTAGAAGTTATTCTTTCATTAAGAAGTGTCTGCCCAAATTCATAAGCAAAGTAAGGCACACAAAGAAATATGCTATTTTTTGATTAATGACCTATGGACTGTTCTGAATAGAGAGCACACACACCTAGGAAAAACACAGTTTGGGTTAGGGTTGACAATTAACTAAAGAGCAGTGAGATAATATGGAGGTTTTACAACAAACTGTCCTCCCAAAACCAATTACTCTGGTAAAATTAAAAGACAGATTAAATAGATGGGAATTTTTTTTTTTTGCTTGTTCAAAGATTCAATACCTGCTAATTTTGACAAGCATAAACATCTGGAGTAGTCAGACATTAGGAACATTGTAAATTAAAGACTCCATGGTAGTAAGTATAGATTTATGTCACCTTAAAATGCCAGATGACTATAAATGAACATAAATCAAACTAGTAGCTTTGCTGAATTGGGCTTAAACAAAAAAGCTACAATATATTCTGTTAAGAAGTTTAAGACATTTCATTAGCTCCCAGTTTGTAGTAATGCTTTTAGGCAAATAAAAACAGAAAACTCAGCATCTGGGACTTATATTTTAAATACAAATGCTGGATGAGTGATTTCTATCGTATCATATCATCTCCCTTTAGCTTCTAGACATCTTTGCCTATTTCAGGTATTGACCTGGTAATGCTTATGATTCAAGACTTTGGACCAGGCATGTAGCTCAGTGGGAGAACCTGCTTAGCATGCATAAAGCCCTGGATATAATCCCTAAAATTTCAGAAAATAAAAAATCCAGTTTGGGATAGGAGTGTATCTCAGCGGTAGAACACTTGCCTAGCATGTGTAAGACCTGGGTTCAATTCCAAACACCAGAAAAGAAAGAAACACTTCTTGGACACTATATGCTTTTTTCTCCATGAAAATCCTTAATGAAAATCGTAAAAATTAAAGGACAACTCCAAATTGATTCTACTGGCCTTTATGAAATTCTCAGCTGAGACTGCTAGCATCTGAGTATGTCAAGCCAACTGAATGTTCCTCTGAATGTGTTCCAAAGGATATTAATAGGCTTGACTCAAGAGAGAGCTCCCAGATTAAATAGTTTATTAGTGCTGGTATAAAGCTTTAAGTCTCTATGTTACAAATTTCTCATCACACCTTTAACATGGTTGTACACATTATGAATCCCTAAATGAAAAACAAACCACTTCAAAATTTACATATATTCTTATATTTACTGAAAGACATTTCAAAAGGTTTTGTCCCCTAAAACATGATGCAATGGATTGTACTTATTTTTCTATTTTCCCTAAGTTCTTTTACTCTATACCAAATTATATCACCAAATATCTATAAACCTAAAAGTTTTAAAAGCTTTAACTGAATTACAACTTATCTCCAGACAAACATTTCACTAATCATTTTTCTACAATAAAAATTGGTCTTATATATCTTCTGCCAAAATCACCATTTAAGATCCTACCAAGACCGGGCATGATGGTGCACACCTGTAATCCCTATAGCTTGGGAGACTGAGGAAAGAGGATCTCAAGTTCAAAGCCAGCTTCAGCAACTTAGCAAGGCACTTAGAAACTTACTGAGACCCTTTCTCTAAATAAATTTTTTTTAAAAGACAGGGGGCTGGGGTTGTAGCTCAGTGGTAGAGCACTGCCTCATACATGTGAGGCCCTAGGTTCAAACCTCAGCACCACGAAAAAATAAACAAATAAAAATAAAGATATTATGTCCATCTACAACTAAAAAATTTTTGTTTTAAAAAAGGGTGGACCTGGGGATGTTGCTCAGCGGTTATACACCCCTGGGTTCAATCCCCAGTACCAAAAAAAAAAGATGCTGTCAAGTTATTCAGTGGATTTTATGTTCAAAACACACACACACACATAACACACACACACACACCTATATGATTGAGTCTTCTTAGAAATCAATATGTAAAAGCATATCTGGGCTAGGGTTGTAGCTCTGTGAGGTGCTGGGTTCAATTCTCAGCACCACACATAAATAAATAAAATAAAGATCCATTGACAACTGAAAAATATCTGTTAAAAAGCATATCTTTCTGAAAAGTGAGTTTATTTTAATCTGGTAATCATACATCCATAATCCATACTTTCCTTACATTAGTTGTAGAAGGTGCAAGATTTAATTTAGTGCCCAATTCTATTTATCATCTGCACTAGACTCTTGATACAGACTTTCCTTTTTTTTGATATTTACTTTTTAGTTGTAGTTGAACACAATACCTTTATTGCACTTATTTATTTTTTTATGCGGTGCTAAGAATCGAACCCAGGGTCTCCACGTGTGAGGCGAGTGCTCTACTGCTGAGCCACAACCCCAGCCCCTCCAGCTTTCCCTTTTTATATGACTTTTTTTTACTTCAAATTTTAATTCTAAAGTTCATTAGCATATAATTTCTACTATACATTTCCTTAAGACTTTCTTTTAAAGGCCACTTGCCACTCAACCAGATGTTGCTTTCTCTGAATAGTCATGCCCTCTCTAGAAATAGCACTTATATCAGTGCAAATCACCATGCCCTTAGGTAGCAGACAATGCACATTCAATCCCAGGCTGAGATTCATATCTTCTTTCCAATTCTAGCAGTAATTAAATACTTGCCTTTGGGTATCCTGGACCACTGACTGCAAATTTTCATTATGCTCATTTGATCATTTCCCACAAATACGTACACAGATATGTACCCATATGTATAATTATTATGTATCAATTAAAAAGAAAGAACATTGGAAAAACTAAGAAACCAAAGAAAGTAATTTCATTTTTCTGTGAAACAATTTCCAAAAGTCAGCATGCTATCAATGGGAAAGGAAAAAGGAATAATTACTTTGACCACCAAATCAGAAGCCAGAACTTCCTTCGCCCCTTGGATTTGGGCACCTGCTGCTCTGTAGTGATCATCTGAAAACTTGGAAGCCTCGCCAGCACCTGATTCCACGACAACATTAAAACCCTGCTTGACCAAGGCCTGGACACCAGCAGGAGACAATGCCACTCGCTTCTCATTTTGGAAAACCTCCTTGGGGACTCCAACAGTCAGTTGCTTATATGGAATTCCTACAAACAGACAAAGGTAATAAGCAAAAAAAAATGTTTAACAAGAGACTTCAGGAAATGGAAATGGGCAGTCTGTTCTTCAAAATATACTGCATGGGGCTGGGGATGTGGCTCAAACGGTAACGCGCTCGCCTGGCGTGCGGGCGGCCCGGGTTCGATCCTCAGCACCACATACAAAGATGCTGTGTCCGCCGAAAACTAAAAAAAATAAATATTAAAAAATTCTCTCTCTCTCTCTCTCTCTCAAAAAATGTTTAAAAAAAATAAAAAAAATAAAAATATATACTGCATGCACATGTTGCTATCCAAAATGATGTTTTTGATTCACAATCATAATTTTTTTACTTTTATTGAAAGATGATAGGAAATTTTTATGCCCACTCTCCTGAATGTTTTAAGTATTTTATTTAAACAAATTGATTTCTTTAAGGCATTCTTAGAGGGAAAAAATGAGTTGAGAGACTACATAGCATGCTAACTCTAAAACTTGGGGATTCTGGTCTCCCTGTCCTAACCTTTATCAAAGACAAAAGTAAATTGCCGTGTTTTTTTAGTTTGTTTGTTTGTTTTCATATTTTTGGCACTGGAGATTGAACCCAGGGGCATTTAACCACTGAACCACATCCCCAGCCCTTTTTATTTTTTGAGACAGAGTCTTGCTAAGCTGTTCAGGGTCTCGCTAAGTTGCGGAGAGTGGCCTCAAACTTAAAATGCTCCTCTCTCAGCCTCCTGAGTCACTAAGATTACAGGTATGGGCCACCATGCCCAGCATAAATCACTGTTTTGAAGAACAATCCTATGTTACATACTTTGGTGTCCTGCCGCACTGAAAGTCCCCTTCCTGCCAATTTGGCCACAGGCAATTTCTCAGAGATTTTCAAATGTGGTATCTTGAGACCCTACAAGCTTAGCAACAACTGATAAGAGATCACCTACTGGGTCCTAGATAATAATCATCTTTAGGGCAGACATTCAGAAAACCAGCAGCTATGGTCCAGAAGATCACTTATACAGGAATTCTGCTCAAGGACACTCATGTTGGCCAGCATCTACCCAACCCAATAATGTTCTCCCAGGGAGTTTGAATGGGAGACTCATGAAAAAAGACAAGGAGAAAAGAACGGTGTAAAAGGTATATGTAAGCATAGTCATGGGCAATCAAAGGAAGGTCAACAGCAGGAGTGGCAAACACAGCAGTAGTGGATATTAAAAGAAGGAAGATAAGTCATGGCTATAAAATCCAGAATAACATTCCACTTCTCCAAAAGTAGATGAGGGGTCTCCTGAGCTCCCATTCTTCCCAAGAAGCATACAATATACCCTCTTCGAAAAATATAACCCATTAAGATTCTGTTCTTTGCAAACCAAAAGAGACTGCATGATATATACTTATATTACTTACATATGGTTCAGGCTTAAGGTTAGCTTAAGGATATTACTTACTTCTGGTGTTTCATTCAATATGTAGATATAAACACAATTTTTAAAATAGAGTATCTATTTCTTTATAAGTTTTACTAAAGCTTAGGAAATCTACTCTTTAAAATCTAAACTCATAATTTTAAGAATGAATCAAATTTTTGATTCAGAATAAGTTGTTAAGTAAGATCTTGGAGAAGTTAAGTCAACCTAAAACTGTCTGAATTTGAACATTGTCTTAGATTTCCAAACTACTTGTGCATTAAAAATTTACAGTAAACCAAAGGCAAATAAATACTTACTCGGAAGAGAGGGAGGAAAAGAGATAGCTCACAAACATTTGGATTGATGTGCAAAATTAAATCACATACTCTGACCTAAAGTTCAGTCATCTGTCATCAAATCTAGGCCCTACATGTCAAAAATCAAGGAAGCTACCAAAGATAACTAAAGTCATGTCAAAGGTATTTAGAAGCTAGCTTAAAATGGCTTCTATGGGCCAACTATAATTTGAAGCATCAAAAATAATAATTAGTAGCAATGGAGTAAAATACATCCAAAGATGTTATAATCCATATGTTTGTGTTGATACTCAACAAATAAAATATTTCAAAAGCTTTATTGGTCAATATGAGAATAATAGCATGTGGAAGGCAGAATAATGTTCTCCCAAATATATTCAGTGTCCTAATGCCCAACACTGTGAGTATATCACAACACATGACAAAGGGGAATTAAGGAAGCAGACGGGATTAAGGTTGCTAATCAACTGACTTTCAGATAAGAATATCCTGGATTATCTTAATTGCCCTACTGTAATCACAAGGTTCCTTAAATGTGGAAGAAAGCAGGTGGAACAAAGGACCACAAGTCAGCAAAGGCGGGGCTCTCCAGAAGCTGGAAAAGGCAGAGAAACATCCTCTCCCGGAGCTCCAGAGAGGGATGCAGACCGGCCAACACCTTAGGCCCAGTGAGATCTAGCTGATTTTGATTTCCTCAAGATAATAACTCTGTAATGTATGAAGCCACCAAGCTTGGAAAGGAAACGAATACATAAGGAAAACAACTCATTATTAGCAAAAATAATGGGAAAGAATTAAACATTTATTCCCCTCGTTCAAATGTTTTTTGATAGAAAAATTCTAGCTAATACATGAAGACAGAATAATACAATATTAGATACAATGATAGAATATAGAAAGAAAGATCATTCTTTGAACAAGCCAAAAGAAGGAACAGGAGCACAAGAGGAGGAGAAGAGGAGAAGGAAAGAAGATGATGAAGAGAAAGAGGCAGAGGAGGAAAAAGAAAAGGAGGAAAGGAACAAAGGAAGAGAGAGGGAAAAAAAAAGAAACAATTGAGAAAACCTGAGTGGAATTGTTTTCTATGCTTCTCAATGTGGTAATGAAATTCTAGCTATATTAAGGAAAAAATAGAATCCTTATCTTTTAGGGATAAAAAAGAAGTATCCAGAAAATAATTGAGAACCAGAAATTAGCCAGGCAGGTGGCACACGCCTGTAATCCCAGCAGCTTGGGAGGCTGAGGCAGGAGGATCATGAGTTCAAAGCAAGCCACTAAACAACTCAGTGTGACCCTGTCTCTAAATAAAATACAAAATAGGTCTGGGGATGTGGCTCAGTGGTAGGGTGCCCCTGAGTTCAATCCACGGTACACACCACCCTCCAAAATAACCAGAAGCTAAACAAAAATCTTTCATGTAGTTAATATAGAGATGTTGAAATTTATTAGTCATAAGAACAAGTCTCATGCCCTCAGAACAGTCATTTACTTTTCTTTTTGCACAATTTTATCGCAGTGGGCAATCTGGCTTTCCACAGCAATTTAAAAGAAAGCATCTGAAGGTAAATTTGGGAGCTCTTAGGGAGAGGTACCCTGGCAACAGTGACTTGTTATCTGAGAACAAGAAAAGAGGTTCTGAAGTCTATTTAAGGCAGACACAAAAATTCAAAATGCCCAGCAATGTAGGGTACCTTAATGAACAAACAGTCCTACAAACTTAAAAAGAAGTAAGGATTATCCTTTGCATCAAAAGTTGACTCCTAACATCCATCCTGTCCCTCCATCTTAGTACCAAAAGGCCATTTTTAGCTGGGTATGTTGCCATCTGGAAAAAAAAAAAGTTCAAGTCTCCTTTATAAATGGCCAGGTGCCTAAAGTGTGGCCAGTGAGGGGTAAACAGAGGCCCTGGGGGGGCTAGAGATGTGGCTCAAGCGGTAGCGCGCTCGCCTGGCATGCGTGCGGCCTGGGTTCGATCCTCAGCACCACATACGAACAAAGATGTTATGTCCGCCGAAAACTAAAAAATAAATATTAAAAATTCTCTCTCAAAAAAAAGAAAATACACATACTAGAAACATGGGATGCAGTGAAAGCAGTAGTCAGATAAAAATTTATAGTTAAAAAAACAGAGGCCCTGGTATAGTCTTTGAAAAGACTGCTAAGAGGAAGCTGACTCGACTTAGAACAGCCCCCTCTCAGTCTCTCCTCCTTCAGGCCCCTGGAAAACTTGCACTCCTACTCTGCATGCGCTGGAAAGTCTGGTAAATCTTGAGAGAAGAGACCTGATCTTATATCTTTTAAAGATTCTTCCACCAAGTGCAGAACAAACTGCAGGAGGGCCAAGGTACAAAGCTCAGAGACTATTTAGAAGACTGGTCCATTGAGAAGAGGTCAGTGTAGACGCAAGGTAGAACTGACCTTTACCGATTCAGAAGGTATAGAATGACTCCAAGGTTTCCGACCTGAGCAACTGAGATGAAGGTGCTCTTTATTAAATCGGAAAACACTAACATAGATCAATTAATACATTTAATTCTTAATTCCTGAGCATAGATGAGCTATACATGGTATAAACCCCCAATACTGGAAGGCAGCAACAGCCCCCTAGGTACAACTGATTTATCTTTTATCGCTTTCTACTTTCCTTTCTTCTCTTAATAGTGACAATCAGGAATTTCTATACATGGAAAATATAAGACAGCACTCTTTTTTTATTTAAAATGATCACTTGTAAGCACCAAGTTATAAAACTGTATGGTTTTTCCTTTTATCTACCACCAGGAGAGCTATTAATATCTATGACTTAAAGCAAACACTGAAGTAAGATTTTACCTGGTTTCTCAGGGGCTTTACACCACAGTGCCTGATGAGTATGAAATGTTCGTAAAACATCCTTCTTCCCAGGTAGAACCTTATAGGACCCCAAATTGCTAAGTAAAGGACATGAACAGCCAGTCACCACTGTTTTTAGAAGGTTCGCCATGATGACAGGAGCTCCCAACTTTCTGAATCCTCAAGGCAAACACTAAGGGGAAAGAAAAGGATTATGTACCAAGGAAAACAATACTTTTTTTTAACATAAAGAAACATAAGTTACTAATCTAATGAGCTTGGAATATAATGGTTATATGAAGACATCTACAAAGAATTTATTTACCTAAATCGTTTACTGCAAGAAAATGTTTCAAAATGTGTTTCCAATTTGGGTATTTAAAATTTGAAATCCATTTTCCCACTAAACTGGAATTACAAACTCACTATTCAATCCCAAATCAATCACACAAGTGTATCTGATCTTTAATGTAGCCAGAGAATTTAAAGACACTGTATCAAGTCATATCTTCTGTGCAAGTTACCTTCTAAGTCAACAATGTGCAGCAAAAATTGCATATAATCAAAGCTACCTATGAATTTCCCTCAAATTACCTAAAATACTGTACAGTTGTGACTTACATTCAGCTACCACGTTGTAAAAAAAAAAAAAAAATACTGCCATCCAGTGTAGCTAGATGCACAGTCAATGAGATTCCCTGAACTAAGACTGACAGAGTCAACAAGAAACTCTTATTTGCTAAGCGCACTTCTCAGTAAAATTAAACATGCATGGGATATGGCTCCAGGAAAAAGAAAGAAAATTCCATGCCATCTTTACCACATAGACTTATGCTTGCAGATATGGGAATAAAGTATTTTTGTTAGTGGTTGTCACAAGTGGCCACTTTTTGCCAGTTCTAACCAGGATGAGTAAAATGTCACTGGCCTTTGCTGTTACTTAAGCTCCTTTGGCTACCTCTGTTGCCCTCCTTGACATTCCCAGGGATGCATGGAGGACACTCATACCATCCTGACACTCCTAATGTTCCTCCACCTTTCTCTTCTTTCCTTCAAGAAAGGAAAGAAGCAAAGAACCTAGGACTCTATCAGTCAAACTTGCCTAAATCCATCCATTCTGTCTGTAGGTTCTGATCTATTTGATGGGCAGTCACAGGGCCAAGCACCAGATCTCAACAGACTCCATGAATACTCTTCCTGACCAGAGGAAAAGATATTTAATTCATTTTTTTTAATTACAAAACTGCTGTCGTAATTCCCTGGTACTTTTTAAAATACCAGAAAGAAACATTGATAGTGGAAATTCTCAGTGCATCCAGTGCTTATACATAAGATGCCCTTTAATTCAACAAACATGTGCCTCAGTCTGCTCATCTATTAAAAAAAAAAAAAAAAAAAAAAAAAAAAAACCTTAGGAGAGCAGTTTGTAGGGCCCTTTTATGCTTTAAATATTTTATGATTAGATGAGATTTTGCAATGTTTTAAAGTTGAAGTCCTAGTTCCTCACCTGTTACTCCAGAGGTATTGCCCTTAGGAGTACTTATAGAATCAAAATGGAATGGGTCAGCCACTTGAGATAAGAAAAGTCAACAAGTAATAACACTACAAGGCAAAGTAGTAATACATGTTCAAAGTTCTTTGATGGATCAAAGAAGGTGATCATGTCCTCTTAGACGGCTCAGAAAAGAAAGGGAAAGAGCTAGAGAAAAAAAATGAAAAAAGCAAATAAAGAGGGAGCATGAAGTATGTTTAGGCACATTATACACATATGTATAATCTTTTGCATGAGAACAGATAGTTTTACATTTACAGGGTTTTCCCACATAGGTCGTTTCATTTCAATCTCAAAGAATTCCCAACTCCCATAAATATTCTCCCCATTCATTCATGGGTCATACATTGGGTTATTTGTGGCTGAGAATGCAAGCAAATGAATTCAAAATTCAAAAAAATTCAAAAAAGCTATGCCAAGAATTGATGGAGATACAAAGACATGAAAGATAATTCTTGTTTTGAGGTAGATTTTTTTTCCTATCCTTACTGCATGACCGACCTCAACCTATCCCAATCTCCCCACTTAGAGTTTCTCCTCTTGGATCAGTCCAGTTCCCCAACAACCACCATTCTCACAAATTGACAAAGTTCACCCAGACTTCATCAGCAAATGAATGAAGCTTCCTCTAACAGAGCCCCACAAGGTCCAAGTTTGCCACTCCCTGGTTATTTGATCTAAACTTCTCTTAGCCTCCCTCTGCTTACCTAGTTACAAAGAAAAGAAAAGAAAAAAAAAAAAGCATAAAAGGCTCAAGTTTTTAGGGCCTTTTTAGGTTACAGAAGTCTTATGATTAGATAAGATTTCTTAGTATTTTAAAATGGAAATCCTACTTCATGGCCTGGAGTCTGGAAATTTTGTCCTGCTTATTTGAAAAATAACAATGTGATGTTGAGCAGTTCTTTGGCAGCGGCATGAGACATCAGTAAAATCAAGACCTTGGAAGGCCAACTTCTCAAAAAAAAAAAAAAAAAAAAGTTCACATAATTCAAGTTAAAACTATACAGAGCAGAGATCAGGAAGTACTTTATTATTGAGAGCAGTCCATATCAGTAAATTTAAATTAAATACAGATAAATCTTAAAGATATTCAGAGAATATCTGAACCACCTCAACACTGGCTGGGACCTGTTTATTCTAAACATTGCACTCCATTTTAATGATCACATTTCCCCCATCTGCACTCTAAAGTTCTCTGTTTTTCTGGCTTTGAGGCAATAAAAAGACAATTTTACACTTTCACAAGTCAGAACTGAAAAGAAAAAAAAAACAGAACTTTTTTTTTTCTGTATGGCATTCATGTGGTCATTTCATGTAAATTATTTGGGTAACTATCTCCCCTGAAAGATTTTAATCATTGAGGGTAAAAGCCAACCCAGCAGAGGTAACATAGTTAAGGGTGAACTGTATGAGATTGGCAAGTCACTTTACTGTCTGTACCTGAGTTCCTCATCTTTAAAATGGGAAGAATCATAACACCTACCTCACAGGATTGTGGAGAGGATTAAAGGAACACAATATCCTGATTAGCTCTTATATTCACTTTGCTATTACCTGTGGCCCAGTGAAAGTCAATAAGTTTTTGTTGTTTTGTTTTTGGCAGTATTGGGAATGGAACCCAGGGCCTCCTGAACATGCTAGGAAAGTGCTGTACCACTGAGCTACATTCCTAATCTTTTGATAGTCATTTTTTGATGGAATAACTAGGGCTAGGTATACTGAAGCATGGTACCTATAAACACATTCTCCAAGCAGTTTCAGTAAATTTCCTTTGAAAACTAAATGTCTGTGTAGCTTTGTGGAAAATAGATATTATCAGCAAAGTTTAAGCCACCCTCAGCCTTCCAATAACTTTTTATCTCAAACTGTCCTTTCAATGTTTTTTTTTTTTTTAAAAAAACAAGCTTTACAAAGAGGGGGACATTTTAAATAAGAGAAAGTAGGCACATGAGCCCCATCCCCCCCCCCCCTTAATAGTCTAGGCTACAACACTCCAGACAAGAGTCCTCTTAAGGACTGCAGGCACCACAGGGCGAATAAAGGACACCTGCAACTGTAAACAAGTCATGCTTTTAAAAGTGAGACATACCAGCAAGGGCACAATACCCAGGCAAGCTTAGCCTGACGGGCAGCGTGACCTCGCCCAAAGCCACCAGTGCCTCAGCCACTGACATCAGTGCACCCCTCCCTCCGCAATAAACTGCCACCCTCCAGCAACTGCACTGGACCGTTATTTATAACCTCCCCCATAGCCCACCGGCCCAAGCTGTAGAACAATTATTCTGCTCTCAAGTTTGAATCAGCTTTATCCAAGTTGCCCCCTCAGCCATCTCTACCCCCTCGCCACTCCAAATCCCTCTTGGCCTCGCAGAAGCTTGCACCCACCACCACCACTCCGCCCTGACATAGTCACAACTTCTGCTGGTAACTCCTATGTCCCCAGTCGGGTACCCTCCCAGAACTCCCTCAAGATTCAAGCACAATTATGGGGCTCCAACCGCCTGGGTGCACCCCCATCAAAAGTCCTCGGTGACCTCTCTTCACCTCTCCCCCACCCCCCAACCCATCCCCCTTGCCGCTTGGGACCGAAATGACCCTCTCAGACTATCTCAGTTCTCCAAAGCTCCAAGATCTGCACCTGCACAGCTGCCGAGGCTCCCTGCCCTTCGAGGACCCGAACCCGAATCCGACAGCCCACTCCTTTCCAGCTGCTCCAGGAAGACTCGAGAAAGGAGGCCCTCAAGGCACGGTTCTCCTTCACCACCAAGTCCCAGGCCTGCGGGCGTACCCTGTTTCTGGGGCACTGCCGACCCCGCCCCCTTCTGCTCCTTGACAGGTCTCCTTCCTCGCCCGGGCCTGGGTGGTCTGGGCAGCCGCGCCCCTGCCCCAGCTGCGCCTTGAGAGCGTGCCCAGGCAGCTCTCTTTTGCCAGCGCTGCCACGCTCACCTGGGCCCGGAGCCTGGGCGGCCGCCGGCTGCACGCCACCGGGTGTGAGGGAACGCCGCGCTGGCAGACCCGGGCTTCGGCCCCGGAGCTGTGCCTCCAACCCGGAAGAACAGCCCCAACCCTGCCGCCGCGGCGACCGCCACGTGACTGCAGCGCTACCCACTCTCGGGCCCCGCGCCCCCTCCCCACTCCCTTTCTTGGCGCTGGTCTTCTTCCTGCCAGGTCCCCTCTTTCGGAATGCGAAAGAAACCTCAAGAAAATGCCCCCTTTGAGCGCAAAAGCCGGTTACCCCCAAAGGGTCTTTCCACTCCAACAGGCAGCCCAAACCCCTTTGTCTCGGCTGGACCCAGGAGACCCCAGCCCCGCCTCCGCGCCTTCCCTAGGCCCGTCCTTGTCAATCAAACCTGGTGCCAAACACTGCCACCGAAGTTTTCAGGAATTCATTTGTCCTCTTCCCCTAGGGAATCAGTTACAAAGTCTAATTTCCTCTCTGGTGTCCCACCAGAACAAGTAAGTGAATTTTATAACTCCACTCTTGGTGCTTGTCTTTCTTTTAGCTCTCTAGGAAAAAAAAATCAGAACTTCAGTAACAGGAGAAGACCTTAGGGAAAAGGCGGGGGGGAGGTGGAAGGCGGGAATAAGGGCGTTGTTTTTCCATTCTGGCGGGGGAGGTGGAGTTAAATTCTTAAGAAACGATGTCAAGGCCCGAAAATTAACACACTTCTGCGTGTTTGTCTTCCAACATCAGAGCCAGCCTAGAAGTCGTCTTGCAATACTGTTAGATAGCCAACGTCTGGAACGGAACGCAACCTCAGTGGACTTTTATTAACTTTACTAACCAGGCCTAAGCTGCTTTCGGCAACATTATAAAAGAACTTCAAAACTAATGACTTGATCATTCTTTTCGAATAGTTCTGTTACTTATTCTGCAGATGTATTCAGGCTAAAGGTGGGAGAACAAAACATGGAGTGTAAAATGATCACTTACACAAAGTTGAATCATAAAGTCTCACCGTAAAGGTCACTTCTTTTTGTTTTTATTGTTTTGTTTAGTTTAAGTGTTTAAAAGTCATAAGGCAAAACAGGTATTCCATATCTTCAAAAAGAAATGAACCACAGAGAATCGCTTACTTTGAGAAAGTGCCTTGTGTTTAACCGGCGCAAAAGGTCAATTAGCTAATGGACTCCCGCTGAGATCCAAAGTAAAACACTGTCCGGGTCCTGGAAGATTTCAAAGCCAGGAAAGAACACAGCCCTATGCTTTAAAATAATAATAAGCCATGAGAAGTGCAGCCACAGAACAGGTTCAAGATATTGCAGCTACAATGAGACAGGTGCAGTGGATAAGGATTTAAAACAGCTCTTGCCGTGGGGATGTTGCTCAAAATAAGAGTGTGTGAACAAGGTCTGGAATTGATCCAGCACAATCAATCAATCAATCAATCCTCTTAATACAAAACACAGTTTGTAGCAGTTAACGGTTCTTGATTGCCATCTACGGACAATTTTGTTCAAAGGAAAAATTGGCAACTTTTTTTTTTTAAAGAGAGAGGGAGAGAGAGAGAGAAAGAATTTTAATATTTATTTTTTAGTTATCGGCGGACACAACATCTTTGTTTGTATGTGGTACTGAGGATCGAACCCAGGCCGCATGCATGCCAGGCAAGCGCGCCTACCGCTTGAGCCACATCCTAGCCCAAAATTGGCAACTTTTGGAGACAATTTGGTTGCTGCAGATACAGAGGGGAGGCTTCTAATGGTTAGAAGCCAAGGATGCTGCTAACCATTTCATATTTCACAGGGCAGGCCCTCACAACAAAGAATTATCAGCCCCTAATGTTCAATATCTTATTTAATTTATGATTATATTACATAAGAACAAATCCAAAGATAATACACTGCTTATCAGTTTTGAAAATAGTGAAGAGTATGCATCTAACTTTAATAGTAAGCATGATTATTTGATTCTGTTCATTTGTATAATATAATTTGGACTCCATTGCTTCAGGTGAAAATATTGTCATTTGGAAAGCTGTGTTTTAGGTCATAAGCTCTTACATATAATTATGCAAATTAATCCATAAAGGGAGGACCCCCAAAATTGGTTTAAGTTCCAGAAGTTTGCTTGGAAGTTGCTTCTGAATCTTATACACTAATTTTAAAAATTTGTAAAGATTTCATATTCCCCATGAAGTAGTAATGACCCTACCTGTTTTGCTATCTGCTCTTTCCTCTTTGGCTATTTGGACCTCTGAATATTCATCTTAGAATAGAACCAGTCACATATATGCAAGTTTTTATTACAGATTTTTGTTATTTGATATTTCAATTTTAACTATATTTTGAAATTCAGATATTTCTCAAAATTTAAACCTTGAAAATTTAGGAGACTTTGTAGCCATACCAGCTTAAAAAGAATATTCAATAGAGTTCTAATATATCAGAAGTAAAATGGATGAAATCTTTAGACAAGTGTAATTTTCCATTAGGATCTACTTTGAAGCCTGAAAATCAGAAGTAAGCTCAATAGACAAAAATAAAAATGTAGACTGTGCCTGAGAAGATATGCTATCAAACACTGAACTCAAAGATGACTTGCTACAAAAACCCAGCATCTAGTTAAAACCAGGTCAGAGAATTGGTAGACTTTCATTATGTTTATTATGTTAAACAGTTGTCAGCAGTTTATTATTTCAAGCTTCACTTTTAACAGGACAGCAATTATTAGCTTCAATAAGATAGGATTCTTATAATACAGTAATGTCTACCACAGCATACACTTGACAGGTATTAAAGGAACCATTATCAGGGGTGAGGGATAGGTCAGTGACATAGCCCTCGTCTAGTATGTGCTAGGTTCTGGGTTTATCTCCCTCACTACCAAAAGGGAGAGAGAGACAGAGAGAGGGTGGGGAAATAGAGAGGGAGATAAACATCTTTAATTCAATCTTAGCCCTTAGCTGTTTCTTAGGCAGGCCAACCAAGTATTTTATCTTAGGAAATAAATATTAACTAACTAAATGAACTAATGCTAATCAACATTAATTGAAAGAGAGTGAAGGAGAACTGACATTACACAGAGAGAACAAGGTTAAATAATTGGCAATTTGTTTAAGCTATTTAAGTGAAACTAGAGTGTATTTGAATTTATCATGATCATCTGAAAAACTAACTCTTGCCAGTTGTGATGGTATGGGTTTGTAGTCCCCTTTGGGGACCTGGGAAAATGGTAAGGGATAAGAACTATGTTAGTATCCTAGGGCTGCTGTAATTACTATGAGGGAGATCAAAAGAGACCCCTTCCTAAAATATAGTTCGTTAGCATATTTCAAGATGGTTAATTAGAGGGGCTGCAGGCAGAGGAATTTACGGGACTTAAAATAACAGAAATGTTGCTCTCACAGTTATAGAAACCAGAATTCAAAATCAAGGTTTCAGTACAGTGTATTCCTTCTGAAAGTGCTCAGGGAGAAACCTTGCTATGCCTCTCTCCTGGCTTCCAGCAGTTTTCAGCAATCTTTTGAATTCTTTGACTTAAAGACACCTCTATTATCTGGTTGCATTTTCACATTACCACCTTCTGTGTACCTTCTCCAAATTTCGCTCTCCTTTCTCTAAAACAGATACCAGTCAGTGGACTTAAAGACCATCCTAATGCCAGGATGGTTTAATATCATGATCCTTAACTAATTACAACTGCAAAGATTATATTTCCAAACAGGAGTGGATATGAATTTGAGTTGGGAAACAGTATTCAAACTACTACAGGGGCAATGTGCGTTTAAAGGTATCACAATGTGCATTGTTGTTTGTTTGTTTTTGAAGATGGATGGACTTACCAATTCTTGAGTTTAAACAAAAAATTCAAATTATTTTGGGAAAATAAAAGGGAAAGTTATTGTGTATTAATAATTGAAAATATGTTCCTTAGATACATACTATTTGCATTTTTTTGTGGAGGGGTACCGGTATTGAATTTAGGGGCACTCAACCACTGAGCAACATCCCAGACCTATTATGTATTTTTTTTATTTAGTGACAGGGTTGCTTAGTGCCTCGCTATTTGCTGAGGCTGAGTTTGAACTCGTGATCCTCCTGTCTCAGCCTCCCTATCTGCTGGAATTACAGGCGTGAGCCACCATACCCAGCTCTATTTGCAATCTTTAAAAACAATCTAATTGAAAATTTCCTTCAATTTTTATATATTTTATTCTTTTTGGGGGAAGGAAGGTACTGGGGATTGAACTCAGGGACATTTAACCATTGAGCCACATCCCCAGCCCTATTTTATATTATTTAGAGACAGGGTCTCACCAAGTTGCTCAGCACCTTGCTTTTGCTGAGGTTGGTTTTGAACTTATGATACTCCTGCCTCAGCTTCCCCAAGCTTCTGGGATTACAGGCATGTTCCACCTCACCCAGAAATTTTTATATATTTTATTCTTATCATTATTATCACACCACTTGATTAAAGAACCCTGGAATAATAGTTAACATTTTATAATATTTAACTTTTTAAAATGCATTTGATAATAACTCTAGATCAAATATTTTAACTGGTTTTGAAACATCATCACTTTGAAGGACTTTTTTTAAGCTAGATTTTACCCATTTTACCCAAAGAAACAAATAAGTATCTCTCACTTACATTGGTTTCTGGTGTACCATTCTGCTATACCCTCCTACTTCTTGAACCAGCATTCAGTTCTTTTACCACTTAAGTGTGCAGATGTTTCAAATGTTCCTTAACATCTGTCCTTTTAATTCTAATACTTTCTCCCTGATAGCCCAATGTCACCTGTGCTATAACAACTGCCAAAGCTCAATGTTCAGCCCAGACCTCACTCCTGAGCTGCAGACTATTTTGACCAACTGCCGACTATTTTGGTCAACTATTTTGACCAACTGGTCATTGCTGATTGAGATTTCCACGTAGATTTAAAGCCCAAAGAGAGAAACTCCCTTCTGCTTTCTTCCTTTTAGCTCTAACAGAATGCTTGCTGTTTCCTTGAAGGTTTGACACTTTTCTGTACTTCCCAGGCTTTTCTCATGCTTTTCCTCTCTGGAATATTCTTCCTGCCCTTCCTTTTCTGTGTCAGCTCATTCTTCAAGGCTAGCTTCTATCTCTTCTGCATTCCAGAAAATCTTGTTCAACTCTTAATTATCAAGCTTAGCACAGTTCTTAGCACATAGCAAGTGCTAAATGAAAGTTAGCAAAGATAAATAAGAAGCAGCTTCTATGAACGAAAGAATAGAATACTGGCTCTGGGTAAGTATCCTTGGGAAAGTTATTTAACTATAAAAATATGGAGACAATTTCACAGGTTATTATGAAAGGGAGAATAAAATTGTAGAAGGAATATAGGTCAGAGTCCACTAAGTCCTATATGTACAATTACTAGGATATTGCATGTTGTGATTATTTATTTAGACTCTGTGAAAGATGCAAAAGCAATTCAATGAAGGAAAGAAAAACTTTTCAATAAATGGCATTAAAGCAACCAGATATCTGTAGGCAAAAACAAAAGTGAACCCCACAAG